CGTCTGCTTCTTTTTTTTTCTTTCTTTTTTCTTCTTCTTTTTTTTCTTTCTTTTTTGTTCTTCTTTTTTTTTCTTTTTTTCTTCTTTTTTCTTCTTCCCACCGCGTTTTCTGCAAATGTCGAATCATTATGCACGGATTCCGATTTCTCTCACCAGTGTCGCAACTTGGTGTTCGCCTTTCCATCTACCCGGAAGCAATTCGTGACACGCACCCACTAACAAGCCTGAGGCAACACATGACGAGTAAGGCGTGACTTAACTCACTACAATTTCAAAATAACAACAATGGATAAGCATACACGCACATGGGTTAGGTCGGTTGGGGTTGAACAGCAACACACACAAATAGTTATATAGATTGCGGAAAATAATTTTGAGAATATATAAATGCATATATCTATATGTATACTTGTGTGCACATGTTTCGTTACAAAAGCATTTATTTGGGAATATCTATATCCGCTAATAATATGTATGTAATTATATAGATTAGCCTGGAGAAGGTTAGTCTCCGCCAGTTTATCTTGCCCAAGACACACAACTACTGTAACGGCTACAGTACATGTAGCGCCCTTATGACCTGAAGGGGTCACGGGACTCGTGATCTTGATCGTGACTTAGATATAGATGTTAATATAGAAAGGGAAATAAGAAGAGAATTAATTTTTATGTCATAAATGTAATCATTTCTGAACAATTTTATCGTATACATATATGAATGATAGTATAAGGAACGTGCAAGAAACGTTTATGAATTTAGCATATTTCATTTTTATTTAAAACTAGCAGTACAGTCCGGCGTTGCCCGGGGATGTAACAGTAAGAGAAAGATCAAGTATCGACCATCATAAAGACTGAAAAATAAAATTGACAAAGATTATTGTTTAAGGTTGACGGACACGCATGTCTTAATTAGTTTTTTTTTTTTTTTTGTTTTTTGTTTTTTTTTATGAATTGGTCAAACCCAAACTCAAACAAAAACATTGTTTTCAATCGTTATGAGTCTATCGATTGAATAGAATTTAAAACAATTGTCTTATAAATGGAATTTTTTAAAGTATTTTGAATGTAAAAATAAAGAAAAAAGTGTGCAAGACAATAAGAAACACTACCTGCCAAAAAAAAAATGAAGTTTTGTTGAAATTGGTTGAAAAATGTAGGAAATCCGATCCCATATATAAACGAACACACACAAACAACCTGGGTTTTATAATTAGTATAACTCGATATGAGTTGTCCCGCTTTCATTCTTGTGACAGAATCGTGTTTTATCGTGTTTTCAAATTGATTTCGTGCAAAAACAATTGTACTTTTCTAATTTTTGGCGCTGTCAGAACAACCTCAAGGTAATTTTACGAAGTCCTGTGACGTTTTGTTGAAATTGGTTGAAAAATGTAGGAAATCCGATCCAATATATAAACGTACACACACACACACACACACACACACACACACACAATCTGCGTTTTATAATAAGTAAGATTAATGTTTTTGGAAATAAATTATGAAAGATTAGAAAGCCTTCCTCCTTACTTATAGGCAACGACCATGATATTCTGTCTCCTTTTGAACCAAATTATTGGTTGTCTCCAGTTTTCTACTCACTGTGAAGTGTTTGTTTAGCATTCACTGCCATATAAGACTATGGATATCACATAGCAATCCAGCATGTCTTGCTTTCTTTTTTTCTAATGACATATTTCCCTTTCTCAGACGCATGCTTAGCTTGTAGAATACTTCATTCTCTAGACAAATGCGTGTACGGATTTAGCTGTCGCATTTTCCATCCTATGTTAAAACATTTTAAACTTAATTTTTTTTGTAAATGTATTATGAAAGACAAGGAACCCTTTCTCCTTATTTATTGGCACTAACTATGGAATTCTGTCTCCTGTTAAACCACGTTATTGGTTGTCTTCAGTTTTCTACTCACTGAGAGATGATTCTTCAGCATTCACTACCGTATAAGAGTATGGATATCACATAGCAATCCAGCATCACTTGCTTTCTTTTTTTCTAATGACATCTTTCTCTTTCTCAGCACATTGCTTCGCTTGTAAAATACCTCTTGCTCTAGACAATGTGTGTACGGATTTAGCTATCGCATTTTCCATTCTATGTTAAAACATTTTTAAAATTATTTTATTTTTGGGGGGAAATGGATTATGAAAGACAAGAAAGTCTGGCTCCTTATTTATTGGCACTGACTGTGGAATTCTGTCTCCTGTTGAACCACGTTATTGGTTTACTCCAGGGAGATGATTCTTCAGCATTCACTGTCATATAGTACTATGGATATCACATAGCAATCCAGCATGTCTTGCTTTCTTTTTTTCTGATGACATCTTTTCCCTTTCTCAGCACCTTGCTTAGCTTGTAAAATACCTCTTTCTCTAGACCAATACGCGTACGGATATAGCTGTCGCATTTTCTATCCTATGTTAAAAGATTTTTAAACTTAATTTGTTTGGAAATGTATTGTTTCGGTGTCACATTTTCCATATTTTTGCATACGTTATCTCTCTCTTAGATGGTTGTGAATACTGGATAATCTCCTCGCAGATGAAGAGGGAGACTTGTAACAACATAAATGTGGTTCTACAGGAAGATGTTGAGAATAACTAGAGACGAAGAAAATAAAAATGTAAAAATATTATGCAAAGTAATAAGAAACAAACAAATTTTGTTAAAGACAAAGAAAAGACTATTGATACGTGATGTAATAGCAGTCCTCCTATATGACAGTGAATTCTGGACATTCTCCACGCAGGTAATGAAGGCACCTGAAGTACCATAAATGTGTTTCTACAGATTTATGTTGCGAATACCACGGACTGAACATGTGAGGATGATGAAGTTTTAGAAAAATGGAAGCAAAATGAGACTTATACTTAAAGTTGAAATTTCTAGGGCATATTATGATGAAAGACGTCTGCGAAAATTTGACACTCACAAGTCAGATTGAAGGCAGGAGAGACAGAAAAATAGAGCGCATGATTTACCTGGCCAGCTTAAGTGAATGGATGACGCGACGGGGCTTAGGAGAGATAGAAAATGACTAGATTTATTCAGAGCTACAAACGATAGGGAAAATGTAGAAGTATAAACGAAAACGTCCTGAAGAGACACGACAGATAGATAGATAGATAGATAGATAGATAGATAGATAGATAGATAGATAGATAGATTATCAACAGACTAAGATAGCTCGCTAGCTAGCATGATAGATAGATAGATAGATAGATAGATAGATAGATGAATGAATGAATGGGTTATAAACAAACTGAGATAGATAGATAGATGAATAGATAGATAGATAGATTATAGATGTGTTATAAAAGACTGCAATAGATAGATAGATAGGTTATAAACAAACTGAAATAGATAGATAGATAGATAGATAGATAGATAGATAGATTATCAACAGACTAAGATAGCTCGCTAGCTAGCATGATAGATAGATAGATAGATAGATAGATAGATAGATAGATAGATAGATGGGTTATAAACAGACTGCGATAGATAGATAGATAGATAGATAGATAGATAGATAGATAGATAGATAGATAGATGGGTTATAAACAAACTGAAATAGATAGATAGATAGATAGATAGATTATCAACAGACTGAGATAGCTCGCTAGCTAGCATGATAGATAGATAGATAGATAGATAGATAGATAGATAGATAGATAGATAGATAGATAGATAGATTATCAACAGACTGAGATAGCTCGTAGCTAGCATGATAGATAGATAGATAGATAGATTATAAACAGATTGAGATAGCTCGCTAGCTAGCAAGATAGATAGATAGATAGATAGATAGAGAGAGAGAGAGAGAGAGAGAGAGAATGAAAATGGGGACTGCAAAATATCCACGCAGAATGGTAGCCAAATATTTTCTTTTTCTCTAGATTTTTGATTTGATATCTTTCTTTAACGGCACATCAACTCTTAATGAGTCATTTAACACCGAAATTTAATTTTCTTGGGAACTTTGAAGTAATAAATATAAGAGATGGGTTATTCTGCATTCACAATTGAATAAATTGTATTTGATATTCATTTTTGGAGCATATACATGTTTGCGTAAAAATCCTTACTAGAAAGGATAATACGTGTCAGTTATGTTGTAGCCTTACAGAATACATTTGGAATATCATTTGATTCTTTAATGGAATTTAGTATATTATGTAGATTAATCAATTAATGTATGTTGTACGTAATTCTACAATAATAAGTATTGTTGGGAATTTTTTTTCCATATAAAAATATATTGATTGTATCTTTAATATAAAAATGTATTTCCCTACTTTCATAGGGTTTTGTTTTAGCTTGTGTGTTCATATTTGCCATAGCTGGGACCCTAAAAAGTGCTATCACACGAGGTCAAGTTGAACCTGTAAACAACAACAATTAAGTACTCATTCGAAACTCCTTCCAAGCTTAAAATTTTCACTTGTTTTTTTGATAAACTACATCTTCCAATTAAATCTAAATGTTTCGCAAATATATTTTGATTAAAATAACAGTATGTTATATTTTTTTAAAGAATATTTTTTATATATTTTTTAACTCTTTTGTGTCTGGTCTTCACCAGGGCTGTGTGTGTCTGTATATATATATATATATATATATATATATATATATATATATATATATATATGAAGAAATATAGTCTTAAGGTGTGCTATATTTATGGAATAAAAGTGCTCAATATCAGAGATAGAACGTGTGTAAATATAAAAGTGAACATAAAGTCAACACTTAGGGGCGACAGTCTGTTTCATACTATATACAATCGTCAGGCACACGTCGCCTGACGATTGCATATAGCATGAAACATTTCTATGTTATATATATATATATATATATATATATATATATATATATATATATATATATATATATATATATATGGTACTTATTTGGAAGCGCACAACATCAGTGATAGAGCAAACATTTTAGTTAGATTGATGTGAGTTTTTGACCCTGGGTTTCACGCTATTTGCGATCGTCAAACAAACAAGTAAAACCTATCGTCACAAACTCAAATTAATCAACTATATATATATATATATATATATATATATATATATATATATATATATATATATATAGTTGGATTATATATATATACATATATATATATACATATATATATAGAGAGAGATATAGATATAGATAATATTAGTGGTAAATATACACATACATATGCAAAAATATAAAAATATATATACATAGGTGCATACACATACATGTATATTTTTTTAATAAAAAATTTCAATAGGATAGGATCCAGGTAGAACTCAATGTCAGACTAAGGATATAATAAAAAGAATTGGATCGTATTTACGATTCTAATGGAATAAACTATGACCATGGAATATTAGTGTTTAAGCCTTTTTTTTTATATATATATATATATATATATATATATATATATATATATATATATATAATATATATATATATATATATATATATATATATATATATATATATTCAAACACACGAGGGCAACTAAAAAAAGTAATGGCAATTTTCATATAACATTTTTATTTCCACTGATGAACAACAAATCTTATATCACTATTCAGTATAGGCCCTCTGTGCGGCGATTAACTTCCCGTACCGATTCACTTGACGCTTCATAATTTTCTGTGGCTCACAATGCCACGATTCCACTGCTTGCTGGTTTAGCCCCCAAAGTGCACAAACTTTACATTACCGAAAGTCATCGTTCACTCTGGCTTGTGCAAATGCAGAGCTGATACCCACAATTGCCACTACATGCGCTGAAATGATTCATCGGTCATCCTTGATCAAAGCACCCCCCCCTGTAGATATGATCTTCCATGTCCTATGTCTAAATCGACAACCTTCGTCTGGGATATGTATTCTCTGAATATTGGCCAAGGCACCTTGGAGATTTCTCCCTAGGCGGTGCCTTGCCCATGGTATGAGGCCGGGTTTATTTCCCAGAGCCTTAGGCGTACCTAACATGAAACCTTTTTTTGTATAACATCTTTTGCGATATGGACGTCACCCGGATCGTTGTGAGTGTTAACATCAAAATGATTAAGCTAGACAAAATGGAAAAAAAAACGTAATAATGATTGATTATATGGTCGCAGTTGGTACCATAGAGTTATTGACCATTGCCTCCTCTTTCTTTGTGAGATGCTCATTCAGGAATCAGACAATAATGGCTCTCCACAGCTTCGTCTTCTTTGTAGATCTTAGTAACATTTATCTTTACGTTAGCTCTTCCAACTGCAACTATTTACTGAAACTCACCAGCTATGTTACTCACTGTTTCCTTCTGTCTTACAATATGTCCTTTGAGTGTTAGAATTTCCAGCCCTACTTTTCTCATTATGTCTCCTATCAATATCAACTGTGGTTTTCTTATTCTAACAATGAGCGCCGTTATATTTCCATTTTCTTTAAATCTTGCTCATCATTCACATGACCAATCAGCGTAATTACCACTAATCCTAAATTTGAAGCCGAAGCTATTAGAGGAATCGTGGTGAATACCTTTAACTAATTATAGTTTAAAACACTTCGTATGAGCAAGATGATATACAAGACGGTCTTAATTAGTTTGCCATCATTTTCAACACACAAATCCCAGTGAGAAACAGTAGCATTTAATGCCTGGGAAGTCATTTAAAAGGAAACGGATAAAACAGTTCGTATTCTGTTCCTATTGTCATTGCTCTCATGAACTCGCTTGCTATAAACTCGCTCCTTCGTTATATGCCATAACAAGAAATCAAAAAATATCTAATCAGGAAAGTACAGAGGTCAACTAAATGGCCCACCATGATCTCTCCATCAACCTGGAAATGTGTAATCGATATAATCACGAATAATAATAATGCTAACATAATTTTGATGAACCCTGTATTATTCAAACATGAATAAAAATTGAATAAATGTCAAAGCCTGTTTGAGAAACTAAAAGCCTGTAAATTGATTTATTGTAAATAAATGTGAATCAAATATATTGCTATGTTTTATACCATAACTTCAAGACTATATTACTACTAGCAAGCGTAGAATGATGGCCATATTGATACTTTCTAAAGAAACTAACATTGACATAAAGATATCCTCCCGTAAAATCGATAACAATTGGCATTGTTACATCTCAAGATTTCAATATAGATGATATTATAACTAACGACACTAGACAGAAGACCGATCTAAACATTTGCAATGGAAACAAGTAAAATTTAAATTTAAATTAAAAAAAAAAACATTCTAGTCAAACGTAATAATGGTTGACAATACTTCATCTCATCAAAAGAAAAATGTGGCTTCATCATTGTTGTGTAAATCGCCAACTTTCATCTAACGTGTTTATTTGTCTGCGATTCTTGAATTAATCAGACTAATGGCATCCTGGCGCCAATTCCTGGAGTATTGTTTAGCATCCTTCAGCAAAAGCAACAGCTCAACATGCAAATTAAAAAATACCAGAATCAGGCAAGTAAAACAATTTAAATATCTAGGAAATGTTTTATCAGTAGGCTTAATGTACGGCATCGGCAATGGGTTAATGAAAGAGGCAAGCAAAAAGCTAAACAAAGTATCAAGAAATAGGAAAATTGTGTTATAAACAGACAAAACAAGTACTGAACTGTTACATAATATTAATTATTCTAAATGGCAGTGAATGCTGAACAATCTCCTCACAGAGGAAATGTTGCGTTCTGTGTCATCTCTCGGTCCCCATGTTACTAGATAAAATGGTATCATCGAAAAGAGGGGTGTTTGACCATGTTCCCCATAGTCTATGATTATAGAATACAGCGCAATACGTAATCTGTTCAAAGAAACAACGTTAAAGATTAGACAGAAATAAACAAAAAATGATGAACGCCTATGTTATATCTCAAATTCTATGTGACAATTGATGTTGGACGATTCTCTAACCTATAAATAATTACACTATTTATCTGCGGTCTATTGACCTCATCTATGTTGCTGCTTTAACCATATTTCGATCGTTGGCTCTTCTGATCTTCATCAGGTGTATGCTGATCCTGTTAACCGAATTGAACATTTTATTTAATCTACTGGCGTAGACTATTCTACTCCTAATACCCATCTTTAGGGATATCTCGGCTAGGTCTTATTTTGCTTTTTCAGTATTATTAAGTTATTGTCCTTTTTTCACTCAGACCAAGTATACACTGCCAGACCCAGGGATTTAACTCATAAATAGTACATCACCAAATTCAAGAACAAGAGTTTTAATCTATTTGGTTATTATCCGGATTGACATGCACCTGATGAAGGCCGAAGAGCACATCTTCCGAAAATTTACGATAACAACAATAACGATGGGGACATTAGTTTGCATTTAAATAGTGTCAGTAACTATTCATAACGGAAATTCGAGCAGAAAATAAATTAAATACTTGAAACAACTAGATTATATGTGTTGGCCATATTCACCATAGTCTATGAATATAGAATACAGCGCTGTACATAACCTGTTCAATGAAACAACGTTAAAGATTAACACTCACGAGTCAGACACTCTACTGAATCTGACTATATCGCCAATACCACCACCAGCTGTTCCATAATTCTTCAGTCTTCGATATCAAAGGCTAGCCGTGAGTGTTCGGGAAAAAACATGGCCATCTTTATACACGTCGCATTGAATATTTTGAGCCTTCTGATTGGTTAACCCTTCTATTGTTGAACTATAAAATGAGTCAGCTCATTTTGGCTGGCTCACTAGTACACCGGGGTACCCCAAATTTTCAACAAGGCTTCTTTTTCTTATTCGTTTTATTTGGAGACAGTCGTGTTAGATTTGATTCTAAGAGGCAGCGGGAGGAATGACGTTACACGAAGAGACGTCGCACGGTAGCTCAGGGTTCCTCAGCGCGTGGTCTTAGCCAGTCACTGGCTCAGATGTGGGGCGGCGTATCGACTTTTCGTAATTATTCTGGCCGTTTGTTGTTTTCGCGCACTTTTGGACTTATATCCAGAACCGAAACAAAAACAAAATATCACTTTCAGAAGTCCACGCCAACAAGGCACTCTGACCTATCGATAAAAATTCTGGCACTGGTCTTCGTTTTCTGTAACAGAGAAAAATATGTGAAGCCAAGAAAATGTGGTTCTGCAGAAGCATGTTAGACCGAACAACGGCGTAGTTCTTGAGACAATTAAAACAAAAAGGACAATTATACTTCTATAACCGTTGAAATTCCTCGAGAACATAATGAGATAAGATGACTGATTAAAGGCAAGAGAGACGCATAAATTGCATGGTGAGCTTGAATGAATGGATGGCAGACCAGACATTGGGAGACATGGCAACAAGGAAAAAAAAAAAGTACAAAGAGAGAAAATAGTGGAGAGCCATGATTGCCAACGTCCTGGAGAGAGACGGAATATAAAATAAGATAACGAATTAGTTTCGGATTCTGTGTTAACAATTACTATGTACGAAATAACACTTACATAGCTTCAGTAGATTGTTTGATGTAGACTAAAAATATTATCATGATTTGGAATTTTTATACATGGAACGTTATTAGCCATCATACATTTTCTTTAATTTTAATTTTATGTATACTAGCCACTTTTTAAGGTAAGACGCCACAATTCGTTAAACGAGAGAAGAACATTATTGATGAGGTTATGAGAGCCATTGCCCGCGATCTCCAACTGTCCACAATGTGGTGCATGTAGACATTTGGTACATCTCCTACCTGATGTAGAAAGGGCGTTTTATGTCGGCAAACTTAAAGGAACAACGATTACTCTGAGCAAAACGATGACTGAACAAATTCAAAACATCCAGAAGAAACTGCCGAAAAAAAATCAACTAGGATGAAAATCTGAACCGGGAAAATGAGAGTTGGTTACGTAGAGAGCCTTTTGATGTCCCCCTGTATAACGCACAGCAGGGTTCACGCTTCTGTTGTGGTTTTAGAGGTGGTGAGTACCGAAAGATACGCCATGGCGCCGCGCTTTTTTCAACAGGGTTGTTTATTAAATGTTGCAGACAAATACATACATGAAATAGAACACGGATAGATAGATAGATAGATAGATAGATAGATAGATAGATAGATAGATAAATGCATGGAAACGCAGAGAGATAGATATACAAATCCACACATGCGTAGAAACACGCTCACATCCACACACACACATATATATACATGAGCTCTGTTAAGGATATTGCGCACTTCCCACTATATATATATTAATATAATAAAATGATTTAACATTGAGCTCTCCAGGATTTCATCCTCCTTGGGATTATCCATACGGAATAACAAGATTTTAATTATATATATATATATATATATATATATATATATATATATATAGATAGATAGATAGATAGATAGATAGATAGAACAATGAAAGCAACATAACATCTGAAACTTTTATCAACAAGAGATGTTAACATTTCCAGACCCCAGAAACCTTTTAAAACAGAAATCGGAAATTATGTTCCGTTGTATTCATACATGAAAGTTCCTTTTGGGTTCATTTCAAATGGGATAAAATGAACGTATGTATATTTCATTTAATTCCCCAACGATATATTTCCAATGCACCTGATTTCTCCTCATATTCGACCACACATCACGTATTGCTCTTATTCATTTAATTTTTTTTTTTTTTTTAAATATAGCCTTCATAATTAAAAAAATAATAATAAAGCGTTAGGAAATCAATTGATCGAAATCGCCTGAAGATAACGAAAGGTTGAAACCAAAGTAGCGGGATCGGCTGATTTCCTAATTTTCTACAATTAAAAGCTTTACCTGTTAATTTTTTCTCTCTTTTACATGTGCATTGAGCACTTTTTCATACAACTGTTTCCGGGTTTATTTCAAATCTAACCATTAACTTCTTCATACACACACACACACATCTATCTATCTATCTATCTATATATATGTACATGTATCTATCTATATATATATATATATATATATATATATATATATGTATTGAGGTGTCTGGATAATATCCTCCTTGGAATTATCCATTACCAAAACAATATCATTAACTATCTATTTATCTAGATAGCTACATATATATATATATATATATATATATATATATATATATATATATATATATGTGTGTGTGTGTGTGTGTGTGTGTGTGTATATAATATATATATATATATATATATATATATATATATATACAGATAGATGCATAGATAGAGAGACAAAAACAATTGCAAAAGAATAGATAGATTGATAGAAATGTTCTGACAGTCCGGACTCATAAATAATTACATCGGCTACACAACCACATGTTTATCCAGACGTCTTACATTACACCTATCTGATCACAGTTCCATCAGAACACATTTAAACACACACTCAGATTTACCCGACACTATTAGGAACATACTAGTAGAAAACACAAATATATTAACTGCATCCACTTGCAAAAAAAGACTAAAAATAATGGAAGCTCTAATAATAAAAAAGAAAAAGCCAACTCTTAACAATATTAACTATGAACAAAGCCACAATGTGCTAACCGTATTCGGAAACTAAAAACATCACTACCACACACTGAACATACACAGAACACACACACTAAGCTGAAAAATCGGATCATCCTTGATAATGTCTAAAGGTATAGCCGAAAGCGCTCGGAAACACAGAACATTCGGACAGTTCTTACACACTCTTTGTCCAGAAAAGAAAGCTCTTGTCAGAACACAAGAAAAATTAAATAAAAGCTTAACCGTAGTAACTTGTCTGTCGTTTTAATGAAACATGCATATATATATATATATATATATATATATATATATATATATATATATATATATATATATATATGAAACATAATCCTCCAACTAGCTTACTCTGTGTTTGTTGCTTGCCTGGATACAATAATTAGATATTATTTTTGCGTTATCAATCTCTCTCTCTCTCTCTCTCTCACACACACACACACATATATATATATATATATATATATATATATATACTAAAAATATATTGGTATACTTTTAATTTCCTTACAAAAATGTATTTCTGGTAATAGAATTATTTTTCAAAAATATACTGATCGCATTTTCTTTTTACTATGCTGTTATTTTTATTGTATAATGTATTTTTCTACTTTCATTATTTTTTCCCCCAGTTTTGGGGTTATCTGTTTGAGACCTTAACATGTTCTCCTGGTTTGCTTCATGGTGAACCTCGGAACAACCATATCTAGCTCTTGGGTCTTGTTTGGTCTCTGAGTTTTCCATCATCTTTCTCACAAGCGTTGTCAACCTATACCTCAAAGTCTCCCATGTACTTCCCTTTTTCAGCTCTTGTATGGCAAGAATGATCTTTATCTTTCTTAGTCCTTCGACTGAAAACAATGCTCTACAAAATACCCCCCTTTTGAAGTAAGTATGAACCTTTTCGGGTATTCAAATCGTGTGGTCTTCTTAAAGTAGGTGATATTGTTCAAATTTATCGCATGAGGACTTATGAAGTCTGTAGGTCTTTTGAGGACCATCTTATTTCGGACCACGTGGACCGGCACTGAATCACAAACAACTATACCAATTAAATAAAGACACGTCATTCGAGGTCTGTTATTGTTGAAATGTATCACTCAAGGACATTCAACAGCAGCAACACCTAAAATGGATAGTACATGTAACTTGGAAAGAAAATAAAGACATAATCAAATGCTGACATTTTATACTACTTCATACAAAAGGCATGAAAGCTGTACCATTCGTTTAAATAGCAGGAGATGATGATAATTTTGCAAGGAAAGAGAAAGCAGACTCTGAATTGCAAGCTATGGAGAAGACAACTGCGAACCTCACCATTTTTTTCCGAGATTGCCTGAGAACTTAGGCAGTCGGGATGTCTTCCCTCATGAAGACACTTAGCATAAATAAAGTCCGTTAGCGAAGTAATGCAACGGACACATGAACAAGACTATAGTGCCCGGATCGTTGTGAGTGTTACAATCAAAATGATTACGCTAGACAAAATGGAAAAGTACGTAATAATGATTGATTATGTGATCGCAGTTGGTACCCTAGAATTATTGACCCTTGGATTCTCTTTCTCTGTGACATGCTCATTCAAGAAGTAGACAATCACGGCTCTCCATGACTTCCTCTACTTACTAACTGTTTCCCTCTGTCTTACAATATGTCCTTTGAGTGTCATAATCTCCAGTCCCTCTTTCCTCATCATGTATCCTATCAATATCAATTTTGTTTTCTGGTTCTGAAAATGAACGTCAATATATTTCCATTTTCTTTAAATCTTGCTCATCACCCACATGACCAATCAGCGTAATTCCCAGCATCTTTCTGCAGGGCAATATTTCTGGTGCTTTTGATCTCTTTTTCAACAGTGATTATCCAAGAAAAAACCATCAGAAGTGGACTGACGTTACTGAATTGAGGATTTTCTTTTTCTTTAGATGCCAAGTAAGTCTGAACGGCCCAGTCTAACCTAATCTTTCACATATATAGAAGTGATGCCTTCCAAAGCGTATTTGCCTCGAAGTGAATATAACGAAACTGAAATTCGAACTCGTTTCTTCAATTTCTCGTTTCGAATTCCATTAAACCACCGGCATATGCGTAATAACTTTAATTCATTATCAATTATCAAATTGGTAGGAATTATATTACGTATCGAAATATATAATGCTAATTGCACATGTATAAATCATTTTTGGCATACAATCAAATTCTTTCAAAGAAACGGCTTTTCAATATCTGTAATGATGACTAAATGTCTTACAGAAAATGTCATTAAAAGAATCAAACAATGCCTCTCGAATTAATAAGCTTGATGATAACATTTTGACCGTCAAAGATATGCGCTTCGTTTAACATTGGATGTAAGTTATTTCCCATAATAACTGTCTTGCTGAGTTTTGTCCAAAGTATCAATGTTGTATAGAATCACACGGCAAAAGGTCAATAATCATGTAATTGTCTGGAGAAAGACGTGTTATTCATGATTCGTACATTAAAAAAAGTCATTCGATGATAAACAAAACAAAATTTCCAAGGATTTTCCTTGGAAACAATATAAAATTTTGACATCGCTATCGGTTCAAACAATTCTGGCAATTAAAGAATCGTGTCAATACATCCATAATTACGTGGGATATAAGAGTTAGAACGGAATTTTACAATGGGAAAGGCTATATATGTAATTTATGCCTCGAAGAAACATTAACTCAATTAAAACATTTACATAATCCTAATTTATTAAATTAAACAAGAAAAATAAAGAATTGTTCATCTATAATTTCTACAGTAGATTATAATCATACATTTTTAAAATTTTGTGCTGTTTATATATATATATATATATATATATATATATATATTATTGATTAAAGAAGATAGAACCGTTAAATATATAATTTTTATTTCATGAGAGCTCTAAAAACCAGTTCTCAATCTTCAAGACCTATAAACAAATCTGTACAAGACAAGAACTACAAAGAGAACACAAAAAGATTTTCTTGTAGGTCTTGAATATTGAGAACTGCTTTGTTAGTGCTCTCATGACATAAAATGTATTTTCTATGGGATATTAAGTGTTCGATATTCTTTAATTGATTATAATGTTGCTCTCTCTTTTGACATAGAACTCTCCCTAGATCTATATCCTCCTGGAAATTCCATATGGATTATCGTATGGTATCAATATATATATATATATATATATCTATATCTATATATATATATATATATATATATATATATATATATATATATATATTATATTATATGAGGCACTACGTATTAGAAAGTACTCAATATCAGCGATAGATCTAATATATTCAGTAGTATAGATATACGTTTATGACTCTGGGTTTAAAACTTTTGCTATCATTAGACAAACTATTATATTTTTAAAAATTGTATCTACTTATACTTGTTTGAATATGTTCGGTGCTGGGAAGTGGGGACCTACTTATCTACTTACTAGCATACGCACAGACACACATACGAAGAGGTGCAAGCATTTTGTTTCACAGGAACAGCTCCATTTAAACAAGCCGAGTCTCTCTCGAAATGAGAGAGATGGATTTCTACCGAAAGATGAACAGAATA